ATTGCATAATCTCCTTACAGGTGAAGAAGAAATTTAAAGCAAGCGAATTGAGGTTCTACAGAAGGATGCTAAGAATACCATAGACGAGGAAGTTTTAAGGATAATGGACGCGAAAAATCTCAGAAAGAGACAATTGAAATTTATCGAGCACATAATGAGAGAAGGTGTATGGAAAATTTGACACACTAAAGGCAAGAGAGACAGAGCAATCTACCTAAGAAAATAAGAAAAGAGAATGTGAGGAATATTGAAAAGACAAAACTTACTAAGCGCATCAAAGTAGTGGAGAGTCATGATCGTCTACGTCCTGAAGGGACACGTTACATAGAAGAAGAATATGCTGATCAGAGATTAGTTACAGTTTCGGAGAGGAAGCGCCATAATCTGGCATGATTAACATGAACAAGACCGGTACGCTCAAAGCCTCGGTCACGATGACTTGTAACTTCGTGCTAGCACAACCATTGACGACTTCCGAGCAGTTCTATTTACTCAATTTCATTTCCAAGGGTTGGGTCCACTATGGTATGAATTTTTGGCAACCCAACGGTGCCAAATAGTCACCTTAAGACCAATATTATCAAGAAATCACTTCTTTGAAAAATTAACCATGGTGAGATTCGAACTCAGCTCTCATGGTCAGAACACTAACATTCTAATCATCCTGTACATCTTTGCGGCAACGGTAGAGCCATCAAGTCTCATAAACCATTGCTAGTGAGTTGGATTCTCACTGAGTGCCCAGTAGTTGTGTTTTTGTGCCATAGCTAAGTCTCGTAAATATTGAAAATAATGAAAGAAAGCAGGCAGTGAGATGACGATAGGGAATAGAAAGATATAGAAAATAACAGAAAAATAAAGAAAAGGATATATATATATATATATATATGTGTGTGTGTGTGTGTGTGTGTGTGTGTGTATGTGTGTGTGTGTGTGTGTGTGAACATTGAAGTCAACACTCAGAGGCGACAGGCTGTTTCATGCTAGATACAAATGTCAGGCTGCCTGTGGCCTCTGACGTCAATGTTCATTTTTATATTTATATACGCTCTGTCTCTGATATTGAGTACTTTATCCCATAAATATTGCACACCTTATATATTTCTTCATATATATATATATATATATATATATATATATATATATATATATAAGGCACAAACACTAATATTCCATGGTTATAATTTATTACATTGGAATCGTAATCACGATCCAATTGTAGGTCTGATGAATTGGATCGTGATTAAGATTCCAATGTAATAAATTATAATCATGGATATTAGTGTTTAAACCTTTTATATTATATTCTTACTCTGTCATGGACATTGAGTTCTTGATTCTATCCTCTTGGGAATTTATATATATATATATATATATATATATATATATATATATATATATATATATATATTATGATAATGACTATACTCGACTGGTGAAAAAAAACCCGGATGGTACAATTTGCAAATAAAGATATATTAAAACAAATTGTTATCTGGGGAAGAAATTTGGAAGAAAAAAGAAATGACCAAGAACATCCGAGTCGAGCGAAAAAAATCGCCTGGTGTCGTAATTTCTACCAAAGAAAAAAACTCAAGCGAGTAAAATAAGAAAAAACGTAAAGTGCTCAATACACTAAGCAGAGCAGAATATAAAAAAATCCTAGTGAGCCAGAAACTACCTACCTAAGTTACACCTAAATGGATCTTATATATACTATATGTACTAATGTTAAAAAATTTGAGGTCATCCCTGGTAATTTTTTTAAATTGGCCCCTAAAATAGTTGTTTTGTACTTTAAATAAGAGAAAATTATGCATATGTAAAAAAGTGAGATATGATTTTTTTATTAGAAATTTTATTATGACAAAAAGAAAAAAAACATTTCATGATTAAATTTTGCTCTCGTCAAAATATCCTCCTTTAGCCTTGATTACTGCAGCACAAATATTTGGCATTCGTTGCAAAAGTTTCTCAAAGTATAAGTTTGATAATTGATTCCATTCTTTTTTTCAGTGACTCTAAGAGCCTCTTTTTCATTTTTCTTTTGTTCTACTGTCAAGTTGATTTCATGCTAATTCTGGGAGTGGCTTCAAACTTTTGAACTGTAGTGCACACACACATGCATACACACACACATATATATACATATACATACATCTATCTATCTATCTATCTATCTATCTATCTATCTATCTATCTATCTCTCACTCTATCTATCTATCTATCTATCTATCTATCTATCTATCTATCTCTTTATCTCTCTCTCTATATATATATATATATGAGAGAGATATGCGAAAAGGAAATAGAATGAAAAGGAAAAGAGAAAAATGACGAATAAAAGTAGAGAAAAGAGAGAAACTGTCAGAGCAAGAGGGAAAAAGAGAGGAAAGTTGAGGAGACACAGAGAAAGAGAGAGAGAGAGAGAGAGAGAGAGATGAGAAAGAGAGGTACAGATTAAGCGAGAGAACTAGAACGAGGAAGATATGAAATGAGAAAGTAAAAGAAAAGACAGAAGCAGAAAGAGGAAAATAGAGAGAAAGAGAAAAAAAGAGAGAAGCAAATTGCGGAAGGAGAGAGAGAGAGAGAGAGAGAGAGAGAGAGAGGTGGGGAATAAACGAGAAGAATCAAATAGAAAAAATCTTGCTCTGAGAGGAGAAACTCAGAGAAGGAGAAATAAAGATTGGGAGAGAGAGAAAGAGATAGATAGATAGATAGATAGATAGATAGATAGAGAGAGAGAGAGAGAGAGAGAGAGAGAGAAGAGAATCTGGCCCCAAGAAGAGAAACTCGTAATTCTCGTTGAATTTCTTTGGCATCAGTTGTATCAATGGCCGACGTCTGCCTCTGAATGAAGTAAAAGTGTGCCTTGCTTGATTTTTATCCAACAGCTTCAATGTTGTTCGCATACTAATATTCAATTATTGTGCACCAGGCCTCAAGATAATTGTGTGTTCGTATGTTGGGTCGAGTGACTACGTATGTAAAGTGGCATTTAGATACAGACTGGAATATTTTATAGATTCTAGACGTGCGTTTACGTAGGATGGCGGTGGCTATTCAGTTTTGAATAAATAATGTTGCATGACGTCGAAGAAATCTCAATTTTAGGCGCTACTCTCTTTAGCTTTTTCTTTCTGCCTTTATTTATAAGTGATTTTCTTCCTACCCTTTAATTGTTTGGATCATTCGAGTACTTTCTTTCTTTCTTTCTTTCTTTCTTTATTTCTTTATTTCTTTCTTTTCTATCAATTCATTTCTATTAATTTTTTCTTCATCTATCTATCTATCTATCTATCTATCTATCTATCTATCTATCTATCTATCTATCTATCATTTTATTTGTATCTACTTTATCTTTCTTTCTTATCTATCCCTTCTTTCTTTCTTTCTTTATTTCTTTTGTATCAATTCCAACTTTCTTTTGCATCAATCCCTTCTTTCTTTCTTTCTTTTCTATTAATTCTTTTTTTTCTTTCTTTTCTATCGATTCTTTTCTATCAGTTCTTTTCGATTAATTCTTTCTTTCTTTCTTTCTTTCTTTCTTTTTATTCTTTCTTTCTTTCTTTCTTTCTTCATCTATCTATCTATCTATCATTTTATTTGTATCTACTTTATCTTTCTTGCTTATCTATCCCTTCTTTCTTTCTTTCTTTCTTTCTTTCTTTCTTTTGTATCAATCCCTTTCTTTTTTTCTTTCTATCTTTCTTTCTTTCTTTCTTTCTTTCTTTCTTTCTTTCTTTATCTATCTATCTATCTATCTATCTATCTATCTATCTATCTATCTATCTATCTTTTTTTACTTCTTTTTTTTCTATTAATGACTTCTTTCTTTTCTTTTTCTTTCTTTTGCTATGAATATATATACATATCTATCTTTCGTCTTTCTTTCTATTCTATCAATGCTTTCTTTCTTTCTTCTTTCTTTCTTTTCTATCAATTCCATCTTTCTTGCTTTTCTGTAAATCCCATTTTTCTTTTTTATCTATCTATCTATCTATCTATCTATCTATCTATCTATCTATCTATCTGCAAGGTGACAATAAAGTCACCAGACAGTTATAATAAAAAGCAAAACATTGAAGCAGGTGGCTAGCAGTTCAAACAGTATCGGTAAGTTACTATTGTTTAACATAGTATTTTATTGTTATTAAACACAATTACCCAGAATTAATTTTAATAATAAATTTCTGAGCTGTTGATTAACTGGTTTGTCTTTATTGTTATTGTAAATAACTGTTAAGTGACTTTGTTGGCACTATCTATCTATCTATCTATCTATCTATCTATCTATCTATCTATCTATCTATCTATCTATCTATCTATCTCGACTTCTCTATGTAAGTATGTAGGTATGTATGTATTGACAAAGTTTAATTCTATCTATCTATCTATCTATCTATCTATCTATCTATCTATCTATCTATCTATCTATCTATCATTTTATTTGTATCTACTACAGCTTTCTTTTTTATCTAACTATTCCTTTTTCTTTTTTTCTTTCTTTCGTTCTTTCTTTCTTTCTTTCTTTCTTTTATTCCCTTTCCTTTCTTTCTTTTTTATCTATCTATCTATCTATCTATCTATCTATCTATCTATCTATCTATCTATCTATCTATCGTTTTATTTGTATCTACTTCAGCTTTCTTTTTTATCTATTCCTTTTTCTTTCTTTCATTCTTTCTTTCTTTCTTTCTTTCTTTCTTTCTTTCTTTCTTTCTTTCTTTCTTTCTAGTTTTCTTTGTATCCCCTTTTCCTTTTTTCTTTATCTATCTATCTATCTATCTATCTATCTATCTATCTATCTATCTATCTATCTATCTATCCTCCATTTCTTTCTTTCTTTCTTTCTTTCTTTCTTTCTTTCTTTCTTTCTTTCTTTCTTTCTTTGTATCCCCTTTTTCTTTCTTTTTATCTATCTATCTATCTATCTATCTATCTATCTTTTTTTTTCTTTCTTTCTTTCTTTCTTTCTTTCTTTCTTTCTAAATAAATAA